GAAAGACTTCACCAGAGACAGAGTGGGGAGCAGAACAGGCAGATTGATGAAGTACACTGCTGAGGGGAGCAATGGGTGGGTCAGGAGAGGTCTGCCGCACCATGTGGGTCACCTCCGGGGCAGGAGGGGATCGAACTCATGTGGTTTCAGCTTCTTAGTGCAGCGCTTTAACCTGCTGTGCCACCAGGAAGGGCCAAAATACCAACGTTTTTTAAAAGCAGAAATTCAAGTTGCATAGAATGCAGATAGTCCTTGTGTACCTATTGGTCCTTGAACACAGCTAGGAGGTCCTACACCTTCCCTCAGTTTTCACCGTTAGAAATTCCTATTTCATCTTGTTCAGGGCCACATTTCACTTGTGCTGTCCTTGTTCTTGACAGATCACAGACAGCTGTTCTGAAACCACTCATTTGGGTGGGAGGGGGTTTCAGGAAAACATTTTGCAATCAAATACATATAAAGACCATAGGTTTTTTTAATAAAAGTATTATTTTAATAAAAGATTATTTAAGCAAAGCAGAGCCTAGTCTGGCCTGCCACCAAAGACACCAAAAATGTGTAGAATTACTTTTGAAAGAACCCATTTAGAAGTGTTTTAAATGAAAATAAAAGCCTTGGACTGAAAACAGCTTTTTTTTTTCAGCCCTCACTTCCTCCTAGTCTAGGATCGTTATTGCTCTTAGCATTTTCTGCCAAATACAGAGAATAATTCCCTCTCCCAATAATCCTAATACTGCTGCTGCTATTTCATTTTGGCAACTATGTTTTAACAAGCAATCTTTACAGAAACAAGAGTAGGTTTTGTCCTAAAGTCAATAAAGGAATAGAGGGAATAGATGTACTACAGAATTAACAGGAATTAAAGGAAAAGCAGAGTCTGTTTAGCTCTGAAGGGGAGAAAGAGCAAAACTCATTCAGCTTCTCATGAGCAGCTGTGAATGTTTCATTGTTTGCTAAGTCCAAAATCAAATTAGACCACTACTCAAAAGCAACTCTGTGTGCGTCTCATGGCCATCTGAACTATTTATTTCCAGTCTACTTTTGATGGCTCTGCAGTAGTTTTCAGAGACTGAAGCTTCAACTCAACTTCCTAATAGTATTCACATAAAACTACAATTCATGATCAAATCCCAAGTGGCCAAATGGGTGTGTTCTCACTACAGCCTCTTCTGAAGCAAATACACACTTCAAATTGCCTTTGCCCAAAAGGCCTACCTAGCCTCTGGCATGGAAGGCCACTTATCTTAAACAATGTGTATGTGGTTCTAGAACCCACTTGGAGAAGCACATAGCCTTCACGCTGTGCATACTCCTGAGTGGTTGTGTGCCAGTCAATACAGCTAATGCAGAAGATGAAGGACATTTGCATGTATTCGAAAGCATGTCCAACTCACACAACATGGAAGTCATACATGTAGGGCATTTGCAGTAACACCCTCCTTTGTGGCTCTTAGTTTCATCCTCTCTTTGCCTGCTTTGCCTGCTCCTCTGAGATGGGCACTGAGAAGGTCAGAAGAGATCAGGCACGTTACTGGGGCATGGCAAAAGCACCATGCAACTCGAAAGCCTGCAGAAGCAGAAACAAATACTTGGCATGGTTGGCTAGAGCTCTGCAGGGAGACAGGCAAGGATTCAAACTGTGGCCAACTCATCTATCCTTCTGCCTCAGTTTCCTTATTTGTAAAGTGAAGCTTCTGAATGTGGTTAACATCAAGTGCTTGGGACAGTCCAGCGCAGAGTGAGGTCAATAAACAGTAGTTGTTATTATCCCCACCATCACTGGCTTTGCCATTATTTTCATTCATTTCACTGGTGGCCTTACAAAGATTGTCCTTTCCTTCTGCTCCTGGAGATCCACTCTTGTTTCATTGGGCTGCACAAAGTGGCTTTATCCCTAAGATAAAGGATCTCTCCAGTAGACCTGAAAGGATTTGGGGATTCAAGTACTCTGCCCCTTTGTTCCTTCAAGTTGCTATAAATTTGATTTAGAATAGCAATGATGAAATCCAGAGTGAAAAGGCAGACTAGCAGGTACTAGGAAATTAGAAACAATGCCAGAATGTGGAGGGGGAAATCCTGACCAATTCCTTACAAGTCCATCCTAAAAGGATTCTTCAAAGTTAAAATAATACTAATAAAACACATCTAGTGTTTTTAAGATGAACTGTGGTGTTAGATTCCTCCTGCCATGTATGTGTGGGAGACGTGCTTGATGAAGACCAGCTGCTTTCAATTTTTACTGAGAACAGAACAAACAGATGAGCTACATGAGACCACTGGGGGGTTTCGGTAATTGGTGAGAATGGCCTCAGTGATGAGAGCAGACAGTAACTGCCAAAAGAGGCCCTCGAGAGCAGATGCGCAGACATTAACAGGCAGGGCTACTGGCACCACAAGCCCCTCTTCTGACAAGCCGGCTCTGAGAAATACACACAGTCAAGGAGCTTTATGGCTTCTAGGAGAGGTGTTCTGGAAGCAGCAAAGACTCCAGGGAAGTGCGAAGGAGCTCAGTGTTGTGTTGACCCAGTAAATGGCTTAATGCCCAAACCCTCAAAAGGGGTATGGTGTTGGTGTCATTACAAAACACAGAATTTACACATCTCAACTGTTTTTAATCTACTGGCACTGGGCACATTCACAATGTCATACCACCATCACCATTCATTCTCGTCTTCCCAAGTGGAAACTCTATGCCCATTGAATGCCAGCTCCCTAGTATTGAAATTTTTAAAGACAGTTCCTAGGGATGATGACTTTGTCCCTCCATATTACCCGTATGTGGGCAAAAAGCTCCTTTATGCAGAGCACAGTGCAGGGAAGCCTGAGCTGCCCCGTACAGGGCGGAAGCCTCCGTCCTCACCGTAACTGAGCCATGTCCCGGCACAGCTCTATGTTCGGTCTCCTTGTGCGCTCGTCCAGCCTTGTCTGAGCCACCTTCAGGAAGGCAGACTTTTCCCTGATGGCCTTCTTGATGGATTCTATGGTCATCTCAGTCTGGAAAATCTCCTGCAGAATCTGTCCAAAGAAAAGAAGTCCCTAAGGCTTTGGTGCTGTGCCAGCTCCCCACCTCTGGCCTGTCCATTCGGTGCCCAGCCCTGGCCTCTCGGATGAGGAGGCTGATTCACTGAGGGCAACTTGGTCCTTCCCCAGGAGTCTACCCTGTTGGGGGCCCCGCTCACCGCCACCGTGCGGAGCGGCATTGCACATCCATCCCCTATGCCGAACTAAGGGGGAGTCACCAGAGGGGAGGGCATACGCTGGAATCTGCAAATGCACAATCAGAGCATTCTTACCACCCTGCCCCCATCAGCAGTTGCTGAACTGTGAATTCTGGCACACACTCCTGTTAGGCCTGAAAAAGGCAAGGCCAGGAAGTTTTGAGTGGTTCTTCTTTCCTCCTTAAGTCAATACCTCCTTCCCTTTTTTATCATTCCCTCCTTTTTTTTTTTTTCTTTGCAAATCTCCAACTAGTGGAAGATTTGCCTTGATGCAAATCAATTTCAAACTCAGCTGTCTCACTAGTATGGGAACACTGCAGGTGATGCTGTAGCCCTGATTTTCTATGCTTCCTCCAAGTTGCAAAATCCTGACCCCTTCTTGGTCCCACTCTGTAAAGCAAAATCCTCTCCTTTACTCTGAAAACCCTTCCATCACCTGAGACCTTCGCCTCTACAGTGCCTTTCTCCACATCCTCCCCAACACACTCTTCCTAGGTCCTTTCTTGAGAGCTGGAGACTCACCCAAGTACTACTAAATTTTCCTGAAACTTCAAGTCCTTACCACCAGGCTCCCATCCAATCCCACATGGGTATTCTCCAGTTGGTCCCGCCTACACTGTCACATTCACTGCCAAATGTATCCAGCCAGCACCTGTGCTCACGCCCTCCACTATTCTTCCATGAAAGTGCATTCACAGAGCCAAGGATGAGGCTACTCAGATGTTTCCCTCTCCTTGAAACCCTTGCCCTACTTATTTTCTCTGCCCAGCTGTCACTGTGGGTGCCATGGACACAGTATAAGATTCTTCTTAGGAAGGAACCATAAACCATAGGCAGCAAAACCCACAGTGACAGGAACTTCAAAACGCTGTTGATGGAAGAGCTCCTTGCTTATCTTGAAACACACAAATTCTGTCTGAATTCTTCTTTTTACTGTCATTGTAAAACTCTTACACTAAGAGCACTTAGAAAAGTTTAATACCAGAAAAACTTTGAACTACCTAATAGTTTCCCTTATTTGGTTTTGTATTCCAGAAAAAAGGGCCTGAATAAATTAACAGAAAACTTTGCCACCATATGTTCTAATAATAAATTTATTTCCTAGTTACATACAGTGAGACTCATTAAACTTTAATAATAATATTTTTGTTTCTAGTAAATACTAAGAAATGTGCAGAGCACAGTACATTCTTTGTGTTCCAAAAACCAGTAGATTTCATTTTGTCACCTCACTACCTGGGTAAAATAAATGGTGGGCTTTGTCCTGGTTTCAATTTTTCTTGGTGTGTATGACCCATGACCAGGTGATTGTGTGCCTGGGGCGTCTCTGTGGGAGTGATGAGAGATTTGTGGTCCCAAGGCCTCCCATTCTAGCTAGGTCAGCTAAGGGGTCCCCCTGGGGCTTGTTTTACCTTAGCCAAGTGAATCTGAATCTTATTTTTAGCATCCGCAGTCTCAGCAATGCGATTGGTGAAAGCCACATTCACTTTGTTGAAATGATTCCACATCTCATTGGCAGCCACAACCAAGAGGTTCTGAATGTTGTCTCTTAGCTTGGCAGATGCTGCTCGTTCGCTCTGAGAGCGGAGAATATTGTCATCCGTAAACCTGGCCCAGGACTCGGGCACTGAGACCCTGCAGAAGCGAAACAGAACCAGACAAAGGTCGCGATATGGACCCAGCGGGTCTGCAGACAACTACTCCTCCCATGAGAGGGAAAACCCCACAACACAGGTCCTGCTTTTACTGCATAAAACAAGAATCCAAGCAAAGCTTAATTGCTCCTTATTTTACTGCTGCTTTTCTGTAAAGCCAAAAAATAAAGTAATTCCTTTGCCAACTTGGGGGTGGAGGAGAGACAGATTTAATGAACGGTGCAGGTATTTAGGCTCATTATAAATAATTTGTACCAGCCTAATAAGCATACAAAAAAAAACCCTCAAGCTCACAGTAGTCAAAGTAATGAAAACAGCATACCAATAACCCTTTATCAGAATAGCGAAGAGTGAAGAGAATAGCTCATGTCTGGAGAAAGATTCTCTTATATCCTGCAGCTAAGATAGTTGAATTAGTACAACCATGCTGGAGGATAAAAAGCAACATAAACCAAGAGCCTTTCAAATATGTATAACCCAGAGATCCCACTTCTAGAAAAAAATGTACAGGGATACAACATGATGATTCAAAATTTGTGTCTATCACTAAAAGATCACAACAAATCAACATCCATCACCTCACATAGTTACAAATTATTTTTTCTTGCAATAAAGACTATAAGATCTATTCTCAGCCACCCTGGTGACACAGGGGTTAAAGACAGCATTATCACGCAATAGCCAGCCCCCACAGCACAAGTTCGATTCCCAGCCAGCCTGGAGCTAACCCATGTGGTGCAACAAGCCTGTTCTGTCTGGCGGGCTGCTCCCCTCCCAGTGTATTTCAGCCTGTTCTGCTCCCGACTCTGTCGTGTGAATCCTCTCACCCCTCCCCCACCCACTTCTGGCCTACACCACTGTTCTTGTATGCATAAATAAACGAATCTTAAAAAAAAATCTATTCTCTTAGCAACTCTGAAACAGTCATGCTTCATTGAACGAATGAAATTGTCAATCAACAGCAGACCGCCTCTGACCACAGATGAGGTCGCCCCTGTAGGGCGCAGGTGCACAGTAGGCTGTTCCACCTGGCTTTGTATAATCACACTCTATGACATTCAAACAAGGCAAAAATCACCTAACAATATGTTATTCAGGACCTGTCCCCATCGTGAAGCAATTCATGGTAGCATACAACACAGACACCATGCGATAGGACACATTCCCAGGACTGGAAGGGCAGGGAGCACCCCAGATTTGCACATCATCCTTGTGCAGGGGCCACGCTCATCTTCTCTTTTACTATTTGTGCTGGTGAAATGAGCACTCTAGAAGTTTATCCTAAGGAAAGAATTACCCAAAGGCATAGATATGAGGATATTCATTTTCAGTAATATTTTTGCCAATCCATGGAGAACAAGAAACAACCTAAATGCCCCAAAGTAAAGAAAAAATTGCTTAAATGATGGCATATTTAGAAAGGTATTTCATAGCATATACACATTCATATTATGGAAGATTACATTCACAATAGTTTTGATATATTACGAGGTGAAAAATCAAGACTATATAAGCAGTATGTGTGTACTACCATTATTTAAAAATACAAATCTATGTCTTGGAAGAATATTCTAAAAACTAACAGTAAATTGTTAACATTGGGCGTCTCTGGGCAATAGGCTTGAGGGTGATATTTCTTTGCTTGTTGTTATGATAGGGTATTAAAGGAGACCTTATTGCTGAATAGAAGTTATAGCTCAGACCTGAAATAACACCTCCACGTGCTAGACCCTGACATTCTAGAATGGGCAGCTGGAACGAGAGGAAGCTCTTCCTGGAGGGCTAAGTGGACAGTGTGAAGTTTCACCGCAGCCAACTGCCTGGACAAAGTAGAAGAGGCTGCTTCCTGCTCACCTCCACCAACTACGAGGCCTTTCACAAGCGCAATTAGGATATGGGATCTGAAAGATCCAAAAGTGAAGGTGATAAGTGGTTCTGCTCCTATTACAGGAAAATAAAAGAGAAGCTGCTTTGGGCATGACCAGTCCCAGGAGAGAGTCTATTTGGGGTTCAAGTTTAAAAGGAGGGCAGGGGCATAAGGGCAAGAAACTTGGGAATGATGAAAATATACTTTATCTCAACTGTGGTCATGGTCACATAGGCAATGACATTTGTGAAAACCCAAAAATGTAAACAATGCATTTTATTGTAAGTGAACTTCAATCCAATCAAGGTGATTTATTTAAAAAGAAAAAAGGAGTGGGGGGCGAGCTTAAAAAAAAAAAATCATGAAGCCAAGATTGCATGCCAGTTCTGGTAAAGAAACCACTCACAGAACACATTCAGCTGATAGTAACAATAAAACCTTAAATTGTATGTCAGCTTGTTTCCTTGGCATCCAATCCACGGTAACACTTTGTTATCTTTATGCTTATCTGTTCACTAGGTTTTCTGTATCAAGGATGTATTGTTAGCATAGATGGCAAAATTAGCAACAATTTTTTTTTTTTTTTTGCAAAAGAATACAGGCATACAGGCTGCATGTGTCAAGGCCTGACTGCAGAACCAGCCAAAGCGGGGTGACCCTGCCACATCTTCCTGTTAGCCTACAAGCAGCACCATTTTGAAAAGAGAATGAATTGACATTGGCATCACAGAAGTCATCCAACTTACGTTGCATCAACCTTCTCCACCCCACGGAAGAAGCTGACGCCATCCGAAGTATTTCGCAGATGGTGGCATTTATCGTCAATCCGATAAGCTGTCTGTTTATCACTCAGGTCCTTCTCCAACTCATGCTGGGTAGCTCTGTTAGCTCTAGAACAGAGTGGGGAAATGGAGCTCCAGGTTGAGGTAATACTGCCCGTCACTGCCCTTCTAAGCTGGGACCTACCCCTCTGCTCCCTCAGTCTCCTCTTGCACACAGTGTCCGAGTTGTCACTTAAAAGCAGCCTGGACTCCCTCATAGCCCATTTTATGGGATGGGGTGGGGCTTGGGAGAACATGTACAGATCAACTGAAATCAGATATGTAGAGCCAAGACAGGACACAGTTTGAAATAATCTCCTTTTCCTTCCTTTTCCTTTCCAAAGAATATAGCCTTTCTATATTCTTTGAGTGCAACTCCCTGAGAAGTTGTAAGGCATTTATAGCCCAGCCGCTCTCCACCCATAGGGATGGCCATGCTCAACAGAAGTTTGCCAGGAAAAAGAAACCAATGGTAAAAATTAGCCTGCAGGGAAGGTGTCAAGAGTGCCTGAGAGAGATCAGAAGAGCCACGTGTGCTGGCAGCCACTGTTCTGGATTGGAAGAGGCCTCGTTTCAGTCTGGAGATACGTGGGGTGCCAGGTAGAAATTTCATTATCAAAGAGAAAGTCCTAGGGGATAAGCATGGGTGACAGGAGAGTCGTATCTCTGATCCTGGAATAAAAGTAATATATATATGCATTTCCAAGGTTGCCATATGCTCTTCTTTCAGCAACTTTATCTCCAATTTCTTTTTCAATAAGGAGACACTGCTCATGAGCTATCACAACATTCCTGAAATTGTCGTGGAGATGATGTGTGTTTCTCTGCTCTTGGAATAAAGTAAATAATTAATGAGCACTTATCACATGCCAGACACTCCTTGGTAAGTCTGAGAGGTATCAATATAAATATGACAAAGCAAATATCTCCCCCCTAAATAAGTTTCTATTCTACTGGTAAGAGGCAGGTAATACCCATAGTGATAAGCAAATCATGTGTTTTGTTAGCACAACAGAGAAAAAAGAAAAAGGAGGGCAAAGGGGACAAGGAATGTGTGTTATTATTTTAGGTAGGATGATCAGGGTAGGTCTCCTTGAGGAGGTGATGTTTGAGCGAAGACAGCAGAAAAAACAGATCATGCAGGGGTTCACTGGAAGGAGTCTGGTTTTCCTCTGAGTAAAACAAGAGAACATTGACCACAATTTCAAAGGATCATTCTGGTACTGGGGAGAGAACAGACTGCAAGAAATAGGGAGATCACTAGGATCCAAATGCAGTTATCCAAGGAAGAGTTGAAGGTGGCTTGAAGCCAGTGGCCAGGGTAGCAGGAAAGAGATGAGAAGTGCTCAGCGTATAGTTTAAAGATAGAACCAATCTAACTTCCTAGGAATCTGGGCATCAGTGAGAAACAGGAATAGGTTTGTAATCAGAATAGCAGAGTACCATCAACTGAAATGAATAAGAATACAGGTGAGAAGGCTGTGAGAAGACACAAGTCAAGTTGACCTGCTGAGCTTGAATGTCCATTAAACATCCAAGTGGACATACCAAGTAGGCTGTTGAAATTTGGGAGAAAGTTCTAGGCTAGAAATAAAAGGTTGGGTATCTTTAGCATATAGATAGTTTTGAAAAAGAAGAACACTGGGTGATCTTAATCATGTCTCTATCCCCACACCCTAAAATGATCTTGGCACGGGGGAGCCACTCAGTAAAGTTTGAAATGAATAAGCTAATGCTGACTGTGGTTTCTTTTTAACTTAGCCTGTGCCTTTGAATAAGTTAATTGAGTTGAGTTCTTTTCTATTTGTTTGTTTGAATTTGTAAAGTATAAGTAAGGGTGGCAAGATGCAAGCTACCTGAGTTTGTGTGTAAAAAGTGAAAGGTGAGGAATCTGCCCTTCCTGGATTTTCTGTATTTGGTCTCTTGTTTAAAGGTATAGTGTTGAAACTGACATTAGAAGAGCTTTCTCATTTGTGGTGTGGGAATCAGGTGACCTACTGGCTTCCTCTCTTGGAAGGACACCCGTGACCAGGAGGTGCTGATCTCAGAACCTCCCTCAGAGGTGCGTGAAGCAGTATTCCATTGATCTATCTTGGAGCCCAAGGCAGGAAGAATCTTGATTGAAATATTGGTGCCAAATGAGATTCCATTTTCAGCCCAAATCTAAACTGAGGACTTTATTATAGCTCCAAAACAAACATGGAGTTTAAAAAAACTTTCCTCTTGTTACCTTTGCTGGGTGGAACCCAGTGGCCATATTAGGGGGCCCAGACCCCTGCAAATCCTTGAGATGTCATTCCAGAAATTTTAGCTAGTTGTGCGGTAAAATAAAATGAAGCTCTCTAAAGGATTACAAACAGAAATCCCAAGCAAGACATATGCAGACAGAATTTTCTGCCAAGGCCTGCAATGGCTAGTAATGAGGCTGCTGGTGAGGGCATGACTGGGAGATGTGGCCATTCCACAGTGGGATGATTTAGGCCAATGAGAGAAAAGATCACAGGGGATGGGCAGCACATTTCCAAAAGAAAAATCAGGACTAGAACTAAACCAGAAGAACACAGAATAGAAATGATTCTTTGAACTTCACGATGTTGTATTCCTACTGAGCCTGGGGAGCAGAAACCAGAAATGAATATCAGAACTACTGCCTGACACTTAACAACTTAAGCAAGTACAGTCATCTTCAACTAACCTTTATTTTCCCTAACACCTTCTGGATCAAAGAACTCAAGAGAGTGCTCAGCCATGTGGACCTCCCTGTCAATCCCTCCCCACTGTCAACCCTGAAGCATAGGACAGGAGACCAAGGAAGCAAGATCACGTATTCCTTTAGGTGTATCACACATCTTTCCTTAAAATCATTAGTATAAACAGAATCATCATTTACTTTGTGGGATACTTTCAACAGTTCTTCTTTCCAAGGCCGTGACCTAGTGACCATTGACCTTCCTTATACTTATTTCCATTTTTCTTATTCCCATGAACTTTCTATTAAAAGTATTAAGCTAGCTAACACTTTTTCTATGGTAGCAGCTATTATCATTGCTGTTATCAGTTCTTAAGACTATTCTCACTGCTTGATGATTTAGTGTCTGCATGCTCCTCCCCTCTACCATAAGTGCAATCTTCCTATTATTTACTGTTTCTGGGAAAAGAGAGATTGGTGTTCTAGTTAAGGGAAGAATGGCAGTGGAACTCAGTAAATGCTACCAGAGTGTGATCACACAACAGGGTTTCCCAGGAAATCAGGGAAGGGTGAATCTTCGAGGAGATATGGAAACATATAACATGTAAGTGAGTCATAATTTATGACTTTTCCAACAATTGGGCTAAACTTATACAGGTCAATCTCTTACCAAAGAATAAAACCTTTTGTGTTAAAAGAATCCTTAGCCAAGTGACTCCCTTACCCTCCAAATGAGGGCAAAAATCCTTTTTATGGCATCTCAAAATTATTCTTTAAATAAAAATGTAAAGCCAGTATTAATTTACCCTTTGAATTAAAATGCTTATATGAACATGTATCTGAACATGTGTACATGTGTACAACTGCATGCATTTCCTTATCTAATAAATCTTTATAAAAGAAGTTAGGAGAAACCTGAATGGAAGGCATAAACATAGACCCATGATACATTTTAAATAATACAGAGAAATAGAGCTCTTACGCAAGTTGGGCAATGGCCTTATCCAAATGTAGCTTCATCCTTTCTTGACAACACAGAATAATATCAACTTCCTATTCATTTGAGAAAAGAAACATTCATTAATGTTTTCATCCTTGAATATAACCATCAAAATCAATAATATAGCAAAACATTGAGGAAGGAAAACTTTGTTTCTGGACGAACTATAAAGTGAAGCAAAACAAATTTACATCCACTTCTTTACCTATATGCCTCATGATACTGCAATATAAACCTTAGACTGAGATCAATCCTTTGTAGGACTATACGGCAATTATATTATGGAACAAGCTGGGACAGGATTCAAATAACAGGAGGATTCCTACTTTTTATATCCGGTTCTTAATTAAGGTCAAGTTATTTGTAATTGCAAGAAATAGTAAGCTATTTACTAGTGAGTTAATTCTGGCGGTGTACAAAGTTGGCCTAAAGGCATGACTTTTCTATATTATCCCATGCTAAGACACAGCAACCAGGAGGGACCCAAAAAGGGACTTGCCTCTGGCATTGTGTGTAACCTTTGAGACACCCAGCTCTTTCTCCCACCCAAATATAGAGGCTGACTTCACTTCCTGGCTGGGGGGCTGCCTCCTCTCTGTCCAGTCTCTGCCTTGCAGCCCCACCCCCAAGCTGGCACAAATACTGCCAAGTCACATCTCTCTACTTACCACCTGGTTCTTTGATGCTGCTAAGATGCATATGCTATGGTTCAACATGTGTCCTATCAGAGATTTTTTAAATAATCATTCCCTCCACTCTGAAATCCATATGCATTAGAAAATGTAGGAACTTGATTTAGTACCAAGAAGGCCTTTAGCAGTGCAAAGACTCGTTTTTACCACTTTCTCAAGCAAAAAGTGATTGTGTTGTACATACAATCTTGTAACCTGAGTTTTCATTTTAAACTTAAACATTTTTCCAAATATTAAATGATACTGTGATGGACAACTTCAATAAATATTTAGACTGCTGCCAAAGGGTATGCCTTCTTTCAAGATTTTAACAAGTACAACCAAATGGCCCTTTGAAACATTCTATCCACTACAATGAAAGTTTATGTCTCACTTCCAACACCAAGTAGCCACTGTCACACCTCTCAATCTTTGCCAATGTGATAGGTACCTCTCCCCTCCCCCCATAAAACAGAAAACTTGTGTGGATAAGCAGAGTAACATCATGACAATGTTTTGTTCATCATTTTACTGTCTTTTGTAAATCTTCCATTCATGTGCTTAACTAAATATTCTGGGCTTTTCCCCTTCCCCAATTAATGTATGAGTTCTTAATATATTAAAATTCAATCTTTTCCAATCATCTTTTGTTAAACAGCTTAACCCTGGTCTTTAAATTTTGTGCATGGTGTTTTTGACATATAGACATTTTTCATTTCTAAGACATCAAATATTTCTTTTTGGCTTCTGCCTTCATTAACTTAATGAGCAAATCCTTCTTCATTCCAGCATTAATTATTTCTCAACTGTATATTGTTATTCTTTTATTGATTAATATTAAAAAATAAATATGCTTAGAGTTTATTTCAGTAATATTACATTTGGATTCTTTGACATGCTACATTAATGGAATAAATGAAAAACTACATTTCTAATAAACAGTTTTATCAAGTCTGGTTTTCACCCTTCTAGATTCCCATACAGCCTCAGGGTAGTTTGTGTATCAGTCTATCTTTATCTGTGGTTTGCTTCACCTGTGCGTACATGTGTGTGTTAGTGTGTGCAGCTATTTCACTGAGATGTTGGCAAAGGCACACAATATTAGTTAGAAATACCACTTAAAACCAAAAATCCTGAGTTACTATACTCTGTGTATACAATGAGAGAGTAGGGATTCCTGAGACTTTTAGTGAGAAAAAAATATACTTGCAAAGACTCTTGATATTTAAAAATTTTTTTGAACTATTATTTTTATATGTGAATTTAAATAATTATCTTTTTGCTTAGGATATTTGTCACAAAAATTCATTGTAGGAGTTGGCTGCCTTATGACTTTGTTTATGGTCATTTTTTACTCCTAAACAGTCTTTACTATATCTCCAATTTTACTATCCCTTTCTTATAAAGCTATGGACTTCATTTTGCTTTAGAAGTCCTCCTATACATTACATCAAGTTTACTTTTTAATATCTTTTTTTTTCTTCTGCCCCTATCACAGTTACAATAAGCCCATTCCCATGTAAGGTACCTTATTCACAGGTTCAGGGGATTAGGACATGCGCATGCCTGGGGGGCATTATTCAACCTACACAGTCATGAAATGTTTCCAACACATGGATGTATAGAAAAGAATATAACACCTAGTGATTGCCACAAACCTATAGAAAAAGTAAATTTTTATCACTCTCTTTAAGTCTCTTTTAAAAAGAAGTAATACATTATAGAGAAATGTAAACCCTCCCCAGACTTTTTGTCTCTCTCCATACACAGAGACTACCAATATTCTAAAGTTTCTATATTGCTTCTTTCCATGCACGTGGCTTTAATTTATTATATCTATAAATATATATAACATAATGTATTTACTCAACAGTATTTACTCTATGGTAAGAATATTTACTCACAGTAGTCCTAGAGTATCACTGAATTTGCTTTCTGCAATTTCAGTTACCCACGGTCAACCTTGATCTAAAAATATCAGGTTCAATAAGATAATTTGAGAGAGGTAAACAGTCACTTAACTTTTATTATAGTAAATATAGATGTAATTATTCTATTTTATAGTTATCATTGTTAATCTGTCCCCATATCTACATGAAACTTTATCACAGGCATGTCTATGTGGGGAGAGCAGCCAATGGAGGTCCTGCACTCTGTAGTTTCAGACACCTGCTGGGGTTTTTACTGCCTCCTTAAAGCTTAGGTACACAGTGTTCTCATTGTCATTAAGATTGAAAATATTCTTCAATTTTTTATTTCTATCAAGATTTTCTTTTACTCTTTTGCTATTGATATGAGTAAACTTTAAGGATCTGTGGGCATTATTTTTCTATTGTTCATTTTAAATTTTGTGGAATTGTAGTCAGAAACTACACATTGCTATTGTTTTTAGTTTACATGGTTAATGATACCGAAGTGATTGAAAATGAGAAAGAATAGCTCATATCTTGTCTTGTTAATACTTCCAACAGACTTCATTTCTTTATGTAGCTCTAAGTTTCCATCTACCATGTTCCCTTTTGACTGAAGGTCTTTATCACTTAACTTTTTATTTGGGCGGGGGGAAGTCCTTATTTTACTTTGATTTTGCATCTTCTGTCTTACCACCTTGAATTGCTTGCTGTGGAAGAATCTAATCACATGAAGACAACCAAGCAGCCCTCTGGAGAGGCCCACATGGCAAGGATGGGAAGCTTCCTGCCTGTGGCCAGAAGAGAAATCACCTGGGAGAGACTCCTCCCGCCCCAGTCAAGCCTTTGGATGACCACAGCACTGGCTGATGGCTTGCTTCAACTCACAAGAGACCTGGAAATGCAACCTCCCTGTTAGGCTATTCTTAGATTCCTGACATACACAAGCTGTGTGAGATAGTGTGTGTTATTGTCTTTGCCCTTGTTCTTGGATACATGTTACTTAGTAATAAGTAACTAACACAAATTTCACTTTGTTCCAAGAGGATGGGTCATCCATGGTGGTGGACTCTGGTTTCAGTGCAGTCCTATATGTCTGAAGAGCTTTTACTTCTTGTTAGCCAAACTGAGTAACTATGGAGAGACTATTCCCAATAAGCCGGAGTGTTTGCTTTCTGCGTTTGAAACACAAAGGAGAAAAAAGTCACTTATCAGAAGGAAAGTAGCCAGCTGGGGTAAGCCCCAGAGCTTCAGCCTGAGCTCAGAGCTACAGTGCCAGCCCACAGAGCAAGGCCAGGCAAGACTGAAGGGCCATTGGTTTCAAAGTTGAAGGAGTTAGTGGTCTGGGAGGAACAACAAAATGGAGCCATGATCAGTTCCCAAAGAGAAAGCATTCTGTACAGATGAGGGGAATTTCACTGGTTGAAGATGAGTAACAGTCAACAGAATTTATGAGGAAATATTTTGCTGCACTCATATTATTCAAAAATAGGCCTTTTGAGGCTATTTCTTCTCTTAGCTAATATTTAGTTATTCTGAAAAATGAGATAAATTTGGTAAAATATTTAAAAATAAGCTAAAATATCATTACCTTGATTAAACTACAGGATATATTCACTACATGAATTAATTGGCAGCAACCAAGCACCCCAGCAGACTGTACTGCTGACCTAGAAAATATAGCCCCTCAAAGCAGTAGTTCTTAATAATTTTTAAAATGTTTTGAGATAATCATACACAACAGAATTGATCTAACTATACAATTCAATGATTTTTTAACATAGTCACAATTTCTAGCTCTCACCAGAGCCCATTTTAGAACATTTCATTGTTTCAAAAGAAACCACACACTCCTTAGCTGTCACCCCCAATTTCTAATCTCTCAAGCCCCTGCTTCTAGGCAACCATTAATCTACTTTTGGCCTCTGTAGATTTTGTTATCTTGGATATCTGGTATAAATGGAATATACAATATGTGGCCCTCTGTAACAAGCTTCTCTCACTCAGCATAGTGCCTTCAAGATTCATCCACATTGTAGAATGTTCCAGCACTTCAACCTATAACTTAGACATACATAGCATCCTATTACTTAGACATACCATATTTATTTATCATTGGTCATTTGATGGAGGTCTGGATTGTTTCCAAGTAGCTGTTATGAAAAATGCTGCTATAAATCTTCATGTTTTTTAGTGGGCACGTATTTCCTTTTCTTCTGGGTAGAAGTGTAGGAGTGGAATTACTGAATCATACGGTAGCTCTATGTTTAACCATTTTCCAAAGCAGTTACATCACTTTATATTCCTACCAGGGTATGAGAGTTCTAATTTCTCCTCATTCTTACCAACACTTATTACCTGTATTTTTCAGTGTAGTCACCCTAGTGGGTATGAAGTGGTATTTCATGGGAGTTTTATTTGTATTTCCTTGATGACTAATGATACTGAGCATTTTTTATAAGCTTATGAGTAATTTGTATATCCACTTTAGAGCCCTTGCCCATTTTTTAAAATGAGATATTTGAATTGGGTTGTATTTTTGGTTTTGAGTTGTAAAAGTTCTTTATATGCCTAGGTACAAGACCTTTATCAGGTATATGAGTTGCAAATATTTTTTCCATTTTGTGTATTATCTTTTCACTTTGTTGACGTTCTTCAATGCATCAAGGTTTATCACTTTGATAATTGATAATTTTGTCTATTTTTATTATTTATATTTTGTGCCTTGTGTTAGATTTTAGAAACTATTGTCTGCTCAGAAGTAACAAGTAATTCTGCTTATGTTTTCTTATTTTAAGAGTTTAAGTTTTTAGTTCTTATATTTAGGATAAGTCTCTGATCCACCTGACTCAATTTTTATTATATGCTGTAAGGCAGGTATCCAAATTTGGCCTTCAGCACATGGTTAGTAAACTGCCCCTCCACCATTTGTTGAAGAAATACTCCTTTCCCAGTGATTGTCTCATCACCCTTGTTTGAAGACAAATTGATCATAAATATGATAGCATCTCAAATTTCACTCCTTTGACCTCCATGTCTACATTATGTCATTATTACACAGTCTTATGTACTGTAGTTTTAGAGTAAATTTTAAATTGAGAAATGTGAACCCCCAATTCCTTCTTTTTCATATTATTTTGGCTATTCTGCATCCTTTGAATTTCCATGTGAATTTTAGTATCAGCTTATTAATTTCTGCAAAGAAATTAATTAGGATTTTGGTAAGAACTGTATTAAATCTATGGATCTTGTTGAGAATATTATCATCTTACTACTTTTTAAATCTTCCAATACATGAACGTCATATGTCAATTTATTTTTATATTCTTTAATTTCTATAAACAACATTTGATAGTTTTAAAATCAGTGATTCTTAATTTTATTCATCACAGTTATCTGCAGAATATTTTTAAATACCAATGCCTACAAAGTTTCAGAGTCAAGTAGCCAGGTTAAAAATAAGTCTCGTAGAAATATCACAGTATATTCATGGGCAAATTGATAAAGTGAGGCTATCAGAAGTTGTTTATAATTTATTTCATACAGAACATCTCAGGATCAGCAAAAACAAGAAATCTAGGGATATTTGCTGGTAAATTTATACTGTGTAAAATGACAAAGTAGATGTTATATTATTTTGATTTGCCAGATTCATCAGAGTCTAGAAAGAAGAAACAGCAGAGCACTAGACTAGAACTTAGAACAAAATCATATTTAACTGGTGAGGATGGGAGAGAACCTAATGTGAGAATCAACATAATGGGGCAGATTTAATTATAAATTTCTGGATGGTAATTTAACTTTATATACTTAAAAGCTTTCCTAATGCCTATATCCTTTGACACACAATTACATTTATTAAGTATATCCTAAAGAAAAATCATAAATAATTTAAATTTAAAATGTTATCAATATTAATTATTAAAATAGAAAAAAAGAGTGAGCTAGGGAAAAACAAATTTTTCAAAGAGGATATTTTTTTAAAGATAACATTTTCACAGTATGGAATACAACATAACCATTACATTAAAGTCACATCTTAAAAGAACATGGATGATGTGGGAAAAATACCCCAATATAATTTCTAAATGATTAAAGCACTTTGGGGGTGGGGTGAGGTATGGTGAAGAGACAGAGCAAAGAGGTTCTGAGGACAATGAAAATACTCTATATAAATACTTAAATGATGGCTACATGCCATTATGCATTTGTCCAAACCCACAGAATCTACACCAAGAATATTCTGCAGTGTAAACTCTTTAGGTAATTATGATGCATCAGTGTGGGCTCATCAGTTGTAACCTGATGTATGTCTCACTCTGTTGCAGGGTGGTGTTGATGGTAAGGGGAGGGGAAGTGGTGCATATTTTTGGTATATTGGAAACGAATGTACCTTCCCCTCAATTTTTCTGGGAACTTAAAACTTCCCTAAAAAACTATTTTTGGAACTCTCCTGTACTGCTGGTGGGAATGCAAACTAGTACAACCACTATGGAAAACTGTTTGGAGGTTCCTCAAACTGCTAAACATGGAGCTTCCATTTGACCCAATCCCACTCCTAGGTATCTACCCAAAAGACACAAAAACAGTGATTCAAAAAGATACCTGCACTTCCATGTTTATTGCTGCTATATTCACAATTGGAAAGACATGGAAACAGTCCAAATGCCCCAAAACGGATGACTGGATTAAAAAGATGTGGTACATAAACACAATGGAATATTACTCAGCAACCAAAAAAAAAGAAACATATGTCTTTTGCAGCAACTTGGATGGAGCTGGAAAAGATCATGCTTAGTGAAATAAGCCAGAAAGAAAAGGAAAAATACCGGATGGCTTCTCTCTTAGCAGGAATATAATGGAACAGGTGAGAAAATAATGATGATGATGAACAGCTATATATCAGAGACATTTTGTGGGTGTGGAGTGGGGAATGGGATCTAAAATATTGGGGGAGGAGGAAAATGCACTGGACTATGGTGATGGCACATGGGTGATTTGGTGATGGGAAACCCAAGGGGATTGCAACTAAGATGGAAAAATGCATAAAAATATGTAAAAATAAACTATTATAAATTTTTTTTAAAAACTAAATCTTTTTACTGCCTTACAACATCCTGTGTTTAAGAATAAACATTTTTTGTCCAACAAAAAAATTCAAATTCATATCTACAGTATTATTTTAACCCAGGAAACATATCTGTGTATCTTTGAGTTGGGCGGTGTCACTCCAAGCATGGTTAATAAAAAGACAAAAGTACTCCAAAAGTAACATGAATGCACGTTTAATTGAACTTCAAGTCATTTTTCCCTTTTTTATCCTTTTCTCTATTTTCAAAATTCCTCAATGAACACTTATTATTTTTATAACCAAAAATATATATTTTTCTAAACATATTAACAACTGATAGCATAACTCTTCACTTACAAAGAAATATATAGCATATCTTTATTTATAAGGCTATACATATCATCAGGGTTTTTTTATTCTATTATTAAACACATTTGCAATTAAGTTTATTGTTATTGAAGCATTTGTCTCCTTACTTACTGTCAGCAGTTCTGTTTCCACTTCATCATGTACTAGATCAATTCCCATTCTCTTCTCCCGATGAAACAGACATTCTCGGCCTACCTATACATAAATAGAAAAATGGAGCACACCAATAAAAGCTAAAACCAGTAACTAGCATTTCTAATTTTTTTCTAGAGTAAGTAAACAGACACTCCTACTACCAACTTTTCAAGCCATTAGAAGTCTAACATGAAACGAACTTTGAAAACTAAGTAAATCCTTCTAGTTAAGAGGTGAAGAGTTAGTTCCACAAGGTAGTTTGAAAAAACATTCTAATCTGGAGAGCTGACTGAACCAAGGAGATTGAGTCCCAAAAATTAGCATCTGAGAATATTGCTCGGCATTAATTTCTTCTAGAGAAATAGTTAAGAGCCTAAAATATATAGTCCTCGAGATATTTTTTCCAAATATTTCCTGTTGAACAGACAGAGGAAAAACAAAGGATTATCATTAAGGACATTAAAGTATTTGTTTATCCAAAAATCCAAATCATTATTTTTTAAGTATCATGAATTGTTTCCCTGATTATAAAAATAATATGCTTTATCCATTAAAGGGGAAAGTATATAAAAGCAGAAAATGAGTTAACTAAACATCGATCACTATTTTGTTTGTTTTTAAGAAAATAGAGGTTATAATCTTAGGATTATAGATTATACCTTTTAGGCTTGATCTTAGACCATAGTCTTAGACCACAGATCATGAATTCTTAGAGACAAAGTATATTAATGACTCCAATAGAAAATATCTTAGATTGCCAGCAATAAATTAAGTATGAAAGAACATTATGCAACAGTTAAGGTATTTTTTTTTTCAAAAAATGTTTCATGAAACAGACAACTGTATAATGTTAAAGTTTTAAAAAGTTTAAAATAGTATATGCACTATAATCCAGATTTTGTAACATTAACTATTTTTGAGTGAGTCTCTAATTCTTTTAATAGTACAATTTACATTTACTAGAAGACAAATTAATGAGCTGAAGGGAATTCTGATTACTTCAATAAGTATTAATAAATTCTTTCCAAGAAGTTTCTAGTCACCCACAATCTTGCCAGCAATATATGGAAGTGTCCATTTTCTGCACTTTAGCCAATCCTAGATATTACCAGTTTTCATTTCTATAAATTTGATAGGTTAAAAAGATGGTTCCTACTTTGATTCCTTTTTATTTCTATTATTGTTAACATTTTTCCTAAATTAGTTGATCTTTTGTATTTTACTGTTGAGATTTATCTGTTTGGGTGATTAACTTTAATCAGGGTCTTCTGATAGTGCATTAGCAAATACTCAAATACACAAAAAATCTGGACAAAAATTACAGGAAAAAATTCAAATCAGACTGATTTCATTGAAAAGAATAGTAAGGGAAGTAAGGTTGCATTCAGAACTTCCTATTTAAAGAGCCGACATACGCCCTCCTTGGCTGCGCAACAGGTTAATGCAGCACTGCAAGCGAGCCACAGCCACTTCAATTAGAGTTCAATCCCCATCCCAAGAGGTGACCCACATGGCACGGCAGACCTCTCCTGACTGGCTGCTGCTCCCCTCAGCAGTGTACTTCAGTCGATCTGCCTGTTCTGCTCCCCACTCTGTCTCTGGTGAATCTTCTCACTGACCCTGCACCTCTGGATTGTACCCCAGTTCTGTATGCATAAATAAATAAATCTTTTTTAAAAAATAAAAATAAAAAGCTTACATAATATGCTTACTGTGTAAAACCAGCAATGGTTTAGCCATTAAAAAACAGTTACAGATGTTGATGGGTGTTTGGCTTCTACAAGTGAAGTGAAGATAATTCACTTAATAACTCTAAAGATTTAACTAGTGGATTATAATTACAAAAACGTATTTTTTTACCATAAGGTTTTATATTTACCTGAAGAGGAGCTTCTGTTTCCACCAAAGCCCTCTCCAATTTTTTCTTAACATCAGTTAATTCATTCGTTTCTCCAATCATTCCATCCAACTCATGAGTAATTTCAGTTTTCCAAAACCCTATTTCATTGACCCGTTCTCCCAAATTTTGGGTGGAGTTAGCCTGGGTTTTTCTTATTTGTTGATATTTGTCTTGAATTAGGCGAGATGTATCTACCCTGAGTCTTTCTGAATTGTGTCGAGACGTGTTGGATTCGAGAAAGTTGGTTAAATTGGACCTGTACCAATCATCAGGTGTGTACCTTGTGAAGAGAGTGGTTCTGTTGGAAACAAAGGGGACCATGGTACTCTCACAAACCCTCTGAGATCTAGTGCTGTAAGGACCCAAGGTTGGCGAGTTGGTGGCTGCTTTGTAGTAAGTGCTTGGTCTCCAAGGGAGGCTCAGGCTGTGGGTGAAATTGGAGTGGGGGAAGCGATCTTTATAGCTTGATGCCAAGGTACTGATAGCCGGTAGAAAGTTGGTTGGCGTTGGTTTAGGGTGGGCATAAGTTGCCGTTAGTGTAGAACCTAAAAGTTCCATGATGCTTCAACACGACGTGTAACTCTCCTGTTTTAAAAGAGGGAAGAGAGCAAAAAATAGTCACACATATTAATCTTCAGTGAAAACATACAAACAAAGGGCCACATGTCTTAGTATTAGTAACAATGGTCCCTAAAAACCTTAGCTACCCCACCTTCACAAGTGATAATATTTCCCAAATTTTTTTCATCTCTGTTTATTTAAACTAATGTGTTGAACTCATAGTCCTTTTCTAGATTGACCACCTCAAATTCTGAAATATTTGAGTAATAATGGTTTGTTGATAATGCAAGCACAGTCAAGGTAAGTATCTAGGTTCCCTTTTCCTGGCAACTTGAAGGTCCAAAGACCTTCAATATGAATATTTTAGGACCATCATGGGGTTCAGAGTAAGACTATGCCAAGTACCTGAAATGCCTGGCACAATTCTGGGCATATCACAAAGGTGCTCAATAAACATTAGCTTTTAAAATCAACAATACTTGAATATATGAAATGTTGTAAATTCCCATTCTTCCTCCAAAAGTGAATTCCTCAAAAGCAAACACCATTAATGGTTTAGTAATGCTTCTATCTTTACAGATTTTTCATATTCATATGCTAATACATGTATTATATTAAAACCTATGTACATCTATATAAATGCCATTGATACATACACGCAGAGCTTTCTAAAACATGTTTTTTAAAATAATATAAGTTTATTTTTACATCATTTTGTACCTTTTTCCATCTCAGTTGTAATCCCTGTGGGCTTCCCATCACCAAATCACCCATGTTCCATCACCACAGTCCAGTGCACTTCCCTCCCCCCACCATTTTTGATCCTATTCCCCACTCCACCCCCATAAAATGTCTCTGATATATAGTTGTTCATTTTTATTACTGTTTTCTCCCCTGGCCCTTTACACTCCTGCTATGAGTGAAACCATCTGGTATTTTCCTTTTCTTTCTGGCTTATTTCTCTAAGCATGATCTTTTCCAGCTCTATCCATGTTGCTGCAAAAGGCATGCTTATTTTCCTGGTTGCTGAGTAATATTCCATTGTGTATTTGTACCACATATTTTTAATCCAGTCATCTACTTTTGGGCATTTGGGTTGATTCCATATTTTTCCAATTGTAAATAAAGCAGCAATAAACATGGGGGTGCAGGTGTCTTTTTGAATCAGTATTTTTGTGTCTTTTGGGTAGATACCTAGGAGCGGGATTGCTGGGTCATATGGAAGCTCCATTTTTAGCAGTTTGAGAAATCTCCAAGAAGTTTTTCATAGTGGTTGTACTAGTTTGCAGTCCCACTAAGAGTGCAAGAGAGTTCCATTTTCTCCACATCCTCACCAACATTTGTTGATTTGTTGTTGCTAATTGTAAAACATACATTTTTAAAGATATTTTTGGACCTCTGCCACTGTTAGAATTCATATCACTGTTTACCAATTGAAATATTTTCTATTGTTTACAACTTTGGGTCATTATTAGTTCAGAAATCCAAATTTGCCATAAACAATGACACACTTTACAGCATTTAAGCATTATTCTGCTCTGGAGTTAATCTATAGATCCATTTACTGAAAAGAAAAAATAAAGTCAGATTTAATTCTGTAGTCTTCTTAGGAAAAAAAAAGTTATTCAGTGATTATTTAAATAGCTGTGTCTTGAGGCCTTTAGCATTCAACCACAAAATAATGTATTTGTAGAACTTTGGTCAAATAAAATTCACTCAGACTACACATAATGAAACAGCTGCCCACCGCCCTCTATTGCATGTCCCACACAACCTAAATCCCTGACTTTTTCCTAAATTCTTCCTTCTCTTAGCTCATTTAAACTGGCCAAACTTAGAGTATGATAATGAAAAAGAAACCTTAAATTCCACTTGTAGTTCTTTGCCTCCATTTGAAACTTAAATACTGCTTTTTAGAAAAGCAAATTTAAAGTAACGAGACCATAGCTATTTTGAATTCCAAATCCTTTCCCAAGTTAAATCTAGAAAAAAAATCCAGCCAGTGCTCTTTCAGCAAAAGTTTTCTTTCAGCAATTGGCATTGGGCCACTCTTACTTGATTTCTCTTAATTCTTGACAACAAAAGATCCAAAATCTAGCAGCCCACTTGGTCCTTCAACCATAAAATTCCTCATATGAGTTATCACTTTGTTTATCTATGTCCCTATTATGCATAAATCTTGAGACATTTTCATCCCACACTTGTCAATATTGAGCCCTGAGCCACGACTCCAAGGTGTGATGTGTGAAGACACAGAAGTTCATAATCTAGAGAAGATATATGAATTGAAAAAATTCATTTAGTTTACAGATCACCTAGTGACTTTTTAAAAATTAGACAGGGTATAATTCCCTCATATTCCACTGGTTGGAATATGAAACATCAAGCTCAGCATGTGAACAAAGCTCCTCATGTGTGGCTGTAAGTTTCACATGAGGAGATAGTAATCCAGGCCACAACTGATACTCGAGCTCCAGCCTGACATCATCTAAGTCATTCAGGATGGTTCAATAAAAGACAACAGCCTGGAAATGTCTTATAGTCTGGGTCATTATTGGTCAAGAAAACTGACAAGGTCTCAGTCTGCTTAAAAACTCAAAATGGATTTCTGCCTCTTACCATGATAGAGTAATAAAAACCAGAGTTAGTCTTCACATCTGACTAGACAAAACAGATGAAACAAAATTTTCAGAAATTGGACAATAAGTAGAGCACAGGATTCTGATTCCTCAGAGAAAAGAAATAAGGTGAGTCTTCTAATTGTCCTGGCATTCTGACTAGAAGCAATTTCTACGTTACAGGAAAAAAAAAGCTAAAACCAAACACAGCCCGGAAGCACTTGTGAGTTGAGGAAGAAATCAGAACCTGGGGAGGCAGAGATAGCTAAAAGTTGTGAAGTAGGACTATCAAATAAAGTGAACTGTGCTCTGTAAATCCATGTAGGGGACCACTGAGTCTTTGCTGAGTCATGGGTTGCACATCAAAGAACATTCCACAAGCCTTGGCAAAGAATGATAGCACATTTGTGAGCTGAACTCATTTTAGGACTCACAGAGAATGGAGTGACATTTTTGAACTCAGACCAGAATAGAGTAGTTTAGTGCTGACCTGGGGCATCGTGGAAACCCCCAGAGAGGCTGAACTACCTACCCCTGTAATGAAGACTTACTCTAGCAAAGCTTGAAAACTGGCCTCAAAGATATCATATAACATCATAATGTACAGGTTCCAATCAAAAACTTCTAGACATGCCTAGAAGCAAAACATGCGATCCATAATTAGGAGGAAAAGCAGTCAAGAGAAGCGTCCCTACAAATGGCAAGTAGGTGAGCACTGGGAAAGTATGTAGTAGTATTCACAGACAAACTAAAGAGAGATATGAAAGATTTAAGAACCAAATAAAACTTTAAGGAAAAAAACTACTATAGACGTATGCAATATATACCGGACAATTTCACTTGAAGGGAGTAATAGCAGATGAGATTCTGGAAGAAGTAAAGCTTAGTGTGTTTGACTCTAACCAAAGCAAATACACAGGATTTAACTGAAACAAATGAATGAATGGATGAATAAACAAATAGAGTCCCTGCAACCTATGGTACAGCAGCAATTGGTTTAACATCATGTATAGAAATGTCAGAAATGGGTGGGAGACAAAAATATTTGAAGAAATAATAGCTCTATATTCTTTAGCTCTAAAAAAAACCATAAACCCAATAGATCTAAGAAGCACTCCACACATATGTGTGTGTTCACACTCCTTACCACCACCACTCTCACTTCAGGCCCTTCATAATCAAATTACTAAAATTCTCCAAAAGAGAAAAACTTAAAACTGAAAGGGTGGAGGGGAAACGATAGATAGGAGGGAATAAAGGTAATAATCAACGCACAATTCTTGTCAGAGACTATGAAGGCAGAAGCCAACTGAACACCTTGAAAGGACTGGAAGAAAGTGTAAGCTTAGAATTTTATAGACACCGAAAATATCTTTCAAAGACAAAGGCAAATAATTTTTTTCATAAAAAAGGTCAACTGCACTAAAAGAATTGTTAAAGGAAATTCTTCAGGCAAAAGAAAATTATACCAGATGGAAACTTGGATTTATAAAAAGAAATGAAGTGTCAGAAATGGTAAGTATGTGTGCTAATATTAAAAAAAATTTACTTTCTAGCTTTTAAATTTCTTTAAAAGATGACAGTTTAAAGTGAAAATAATAAAATATTAATTGTGGTGTTTATAATAAAAATAGAACTAAGTCATGTGGTAATAATAGCATAACTGATGGGGGACCAAAATGGAAATACAGTATTGTAAGGTCTTATAACTAAAAGAGAATAATGTTGTTTAAACATGTGCTGTGATAAATTTAAAACATATACGACCTTGAAGGCAGTAGTTCTCAAAATGTGATGCAGGAACACATAAGCTTGCCTAAGAAAACTGGCCTCAAAGATTTATCCCAGGTGGGGTGGGAGTGACAAGTTCAAAATTATTTACATCGTAAATGCTCAGAGGCTATTTGCCTTTTTCATGGTTATTCGCTCACAAATTTACAATAATTTTTCAGAGGTGGCATGGTATGTGATAGTACAACAAACTGAATGCAGAAGTAAATATGAGAACCCAGTACTAAAATAAAGATTAAAGAACTTTTCCAGAAATGAAAATATTTCCAGTCTTCTCACAAATATTTTTTTTGTTTCAGAAAACATAAATAAAAATTTTATTTGTGACTTTATGGTTATTTTAAGAGTAGTAATATTTTTAAATATCTCAATTTTAATTTCTGATACAATAAATTAATAAACCTCAATAGATATAATCTACATACACTAAAATTCTTTGATATATTCAACATGAGGATTTCTGAATATAAATTAGTCCTTAGGCCAAAAAGTAAACTGCTGAACTCAAGTAATCTCTAAGAAAAAAAAAATAAGGTCGTAAACTAACAATAATGGATGGGGGAAAAAGTACTTACAAAACATAATAAATCCAAGAAAAGAGATGAAATAAGAAAATAAATAGCAAGATAGTCCTAGACCAAATCATATTAACATCACATTTATTTTAAAAATGGCTTAATAGTCAAATTAAAAGGCAATAATCTAAAAGATTTGTAAAATGAATTTAAAGGTAATACTGAACTACATGCTTGTTGGGGGAAAGTCCCATTTTAAATATAAAAACATAGATAAGTGAAAAAATAGGAAAAGATAAATCTTAAACACTAACCCAAAGTAGTCATATTAATATCAAACCAGTTAGACTTCAGAATAAGAAATATCAAAGACAGACTGAAATAAGGATAGACAAATTACTCAAGGAGACACAATGGTCTTAAATATTTATTTAACCATTTACAGATTTTTAAACACATGAAGCAAAAACTAACAAGAAAAATGAGAAATAGATAAATACATAGTAATATTTAGCTTTTTCACATTCATCTATCTGTAATATGTAGAACAAATAGAAAATCTGTTACTAGATAGGATATTTGAATATTATAACTAACTGGATCTAATTTACATTTATAAAACACTCCTCTCTAAATTACACACAATTTCCAACTATTCACCATTATTCTGACCACAAAAACAAATCTGAAGATGAAGTTTTAAATTAGTAAAATAAAACTTAAAAAAGGTTTAAAGTAAAATTAATATTCATATCATACTGAATATTGACCATATCAAAGCTAAGTTAGAAATCTATGATGGAAAGATATTTCCAAACAGGAAATTATACACACTTCTCAATATCCAATGAAGAGATCAGAAAAAAATTGAAAATATTTTGAGTTGAATGATAATGACAATATAGTATATCATAATTATGAAGTGTTGTTATTTTAATATTTAGAAGGAAGTATATATTTTAAATGCATGTATTAGAAAGTAAAATTGAGCAAGAATCAATTATCTATACTTTAATCTTAAAGGCTAGGGACAAATAGGAAGTAAAGTTAATGTAGAGGGAAGAAAACAATAGAGAACAAAAATCAATAAAGTAGAAAATAAATGAATAGGTAGAGAAAAAAAACTTAAACCTAACAATAAAATTGACAAACCTCAAGATAAAAAGAGAGAAGACAGGGCCCTTCCTGGTGGCGCAGCGGGTTAAAGCACAGCACTGAGAATCTAAAAGCCGCTTCAGTATGAGTTCGATTCCCGCCTGCCCCGGAGGTGACCACATGGCGTGGCAGACCTCTCCTGACCCGCCCGCTGCTCCCCTCAGCAGTGTACTTCGTTGATCTGCCTGTTCTGTTCCCCACTCCGTCTCTGGTGAAGCCTCTCGCCGCCCCTGAGCCTCTGGCCTGTACCCCAGTTCTGTATACACAAGTAAATAAATCTTTAAAAAAAAAAAGAGAGAGAAGACAGCTTACTAATATTTTGGAATATTACCACAGATCCTGCAACTATCAGTGTTAATAAAGCAATATTATTAATACTTTATGCCAAGAAATGTGACATCATAGATGAAATGGATAAAATTCTTTAAAGAAATAAAAAACAAAACTGACCAAAGAAATAAATAAGCTGACTAGTCCTGAAGTACTTAAGGAATTACACTCTATAGTTCAAAATCTTTCCTTAAAGAACACATCAGACCTAGATAATTTCACCTATGAATTCTACCAAACTTTTAAAAAATACTTTTTAAGAAAGAAATATTTCCATTTTTAGATGCCTACAGCTTACTTTGTTATTACATTGTAACACAGTATTTAAATTATTCTTCAAATTTTAACTCAGTGACTTCCTAAAAAGGTATATGCCACACAATCTTAGTTCATTAACTGATTCTATAAATATCTCATACTTGAAGTAAACTAAATAAATTCTTTGGAAAATGACTCAAAATAGCTGTGGAAAAATCCATCCCCTAAGTCATGCAATTGTTTTTTATTATACTTTTAGTCCTGACTGAAGAGCATTTTAAGAAATGTGCTACAAACTTAAAAACAGTATTTGACTGTCTTTATTTAATGTGGGGTAAATATTTATTTACTACTGAAAAATTCTATAATAGTCTTTCATAAATATTAGCATGCTAAAAATATAATCAATCACACAATTGATTATACTGGAAAGTACTGGAAAATGTTTATAATCCAAAAGGTGGCCTCAAATTGAACAGAAAAATTTTATAAGCACATTAGGCAAGACTTTAAGGTCATAAACATTTTAAGATATAAAAATCAAAGATCATTTTCTGCTTCTGCATTAGATATAGATTGTTCCATCTTCTTCCTCAGATTAGTGGCAAGCATTAAGTTGAAATTATCACAAATAACCACTTTCAGTTCTTTGGTAATATCCATTTAACTACAGTTTCAAACTAAATCAAAAATAAATTTTTGTCCCAATACATTAATAAAAACCAAAGTTTTTAATCAATTCTAATGTTTAAGTAATTTCCTTATGTATAATAAATAAGGTACTTATTTGATACATGTCAAATATATAGTTGATATGTGTGTCAAAATATGTTTCTGATATGTGTCAAATATATATAATATACATCAAAAAGTATTTGACAAGGAACTCTCTTCATTGACAGTGAATTACAAATTACTACACTTTGGAGACCTACATATCTAGTAGAGTTGAAAAAGCACATTCCCTATGACTCAGCAACTCTATAAACATCTAGTATACAATTAAAATGTGTACAAATATGTTTTTAATAATTTTTAAAGGAAACAGCCTAAAAGACCATCAACAGGAAAATTTGTGGCACATAATTTGTGCTAAATTCATGTGGGTTCCTATAAGCTGGCTACTAGCTGGGCAACTGTGACCTATTTGCTATCTAAAAATCATAGCATAGAATAGCTCATATCAGAAGGCAGGCCCAGGAGTAATATCAAATAATCTGCTGATGCAAATGTCTTTCCACGTATGGTCACAAGGTCCCCCTCTCCTGTCGTTCCTAAAACTTTGTCCCCCAAAGCAGCAACAAAGTTCAGCCACAGCAAATTCACGCAAAAATTACCACGCAGCAGTTACAATAAATGACCCAAAGCAGGTACAGCATCAGCACCACTATATAAACTTTAGAAATAACACTATAGATTAGTGTGGGGATAAACATATTAGTAGTAAAAGTATAAAAATATGCAGAGCTTGATGCCAACTTGTAATACAATTGGGAAGGTGGGGAAGGAGAAAGGGGAATATGATTCCCAAAGGCACATCAGGGGTCGTCTGTGCAATAACCGATTTTGTGTTTTTGTTTTTGTTTTAAGTGAGGCATATTTAAATGCTATTGCATGAAATACTTTTTCTTAAAAAAAAAAAAAACGTTTAGAAACTCAGTTGAGTGTGCCCACGGCCCGCTGGGCTTCTGTGGGCTGCGAGGTGTGGCTTCTGCTCCTGCAGTCAGCCTTCGGCCACCCCTCAGTGTAATTTATGTTTTTACAATTTCCTTGCTGGTACAAATACTCCGTTTTTGAAAGGTTATACGGGGTGTCACATAGTAGACTTGCTAACCTTCTAAAGTTGAATCATAAGAGTTGACTTTTAGTAGGGTTTAATCCTAATCTTACATAAACTCCAGATTCAAGCAAACTTTATATTGACCAACTCCCCGGCCTATTCTGTGAATGGCATTGTTTTAAATAAGCTAAGGTTTAAACTCCCCAAATTGTGTTTTAGGCATTTGATATAATTTGTAAAAAATGTTCCTTTCCAGTGTTTCTTTAAATTCAAAACAAAGCATATTTGAAATGTTAAACAAAAAAAAAAGAAAGAAAGAAAGAAAAGATTATGTTGTTATCCAGTTCAGTTCAAAGCACTTTGCTCATCAGTAAAACTATTCGCTTGCTTGCTTTTTCACAATGGCCAAACCAATAATTTTACCCATTTCTAAAATGTATCTACCACCACAGGCATCCAAGGAGAAAACATAAAGGGATTTGGTGGAAACCGCCACAATCCAAGGAGAGTTTAGCAGCCAGTGTTTCACAGAAATAGTCACCCGCCTTGAGAGAACTCAGAACCAGAATCAACCCTTTGAAGAGCCAGTGGTGTGGTGCGCTGTGGTGGGGGGGGGGG